GCACACACACACACACACACAGCCTCACTGGAAACATCACGGAGAACAGGCTAAACACAATAACTATTCCATGAGAATAACGAGTCACAGCCAATCACAAGCCATCCTGCTCTAAAGAGCTCCAGCATTTAAAGCGACAGGTGACACAAAATACCACAGCACATTTTAGTCTTACGTTTATTTTTCAGCACTTTATATAAAGCACTTTAAATAAATTTTTTATTTTTCCTAAATTCAATTTTAAATTCCTTTTTTTTTTAATGGATTGCGTTTAATGGTTAAATTAAATTGTAGCAATCAAAAAGCTTGTCTAATTAATTGAATGATTAAACTTTACAAAAGTTTATAACAAGAAGTTATTAAAAGTTCAAGAAAAAGCTAGAGCTTTCATTTTCCATTTTATTTTTCCCCAAATTATTTTTTTTTTCAAATTCAATTCTTTCCATTGTAATTTTTCTGTATTCGTTTTAATAGTTAAATTAAACTTATCTGTTGCGGTCCGTGGAAAAATTTAGAGAAAAACAGTGCAAAAATGTAAAAATAAATAAACAGAAAATAAAACAGAAATAAAATGAATTAGATTAAAATAAATAAATAATTTGAATAAATAATAATAATAATAATAATGAGATTAAAATAAATAAATATTTAGAACAGATACATACCATTTCGTTAAAATAAACAATGAGAAAAATAAATAATAACAATTAGAGTAAACTACAGAAATTATTAGAATGATAAACAACTATTTGAATAATATCAATAAATTACTACAATAATAACTGATAACAACTGGATTAAAATACATAATTAAACAGATTAAGTTAGATTAAAATAAATTTGGTTAAACAGATTAAATAAATAATTAGGATAATAAATAATAACAATTACACAGAAAATATATTAAATAGATCAAAGTAAATAAATAAAATATTAAAATGAGTATATAATAACTAACTGATAATAATAATAAATATACAAATACGTAATACTTTTAATAGTCCCACAGTTTTAATGTAGCTATTTTTTCAATAATATTTTTATGCATATTTATAATATGAATTTTCCACAGTACCGGGTTTTTATACAAGAGATAATATAATGATAATATGCCGTTTAAATTCTAAGATGGTCATATTTGGGGGTCCGTACATGATTTCCAGCGCTTAACCAGCATTAACCCCTGAATAATGAGTTATACTAGTTAGACTAGTTAAGTCACACACACCCCTGAATAATGAGTTATACTAGTTAGACTAGTTATGTCCCACACACCCCTGAATAATGAGTTATACTAGTTAGACTAGTTAAGTCACACACACCCCTGAATAGTGGGTTATACTAGTTAAGTCACACACACCCCTGAATAGTGGGTTATACTAGACTAGTTACGTCACACACACCCCTGAATAGTGGGTTATACTAGTTAGACTAGTTAAGTCACACACACCCCTGAATAATGAGTTATACTAGTTAAGACTTGTTAAGTCACACTAGTTACTAGTTAAGACTAGTTAAGACGTATGTGACCCTGCAGCACAAAAGCAGTCTTAAGTCGCTGGGGTATATTTGTAGCAATAGCCAACAATACATTGTATGGGTCAAAATTATACATTTTTTTTTATGCCAAAAATCATCAGGATATTAAGTAAAGATCATGTTCCATGAAGATATTTTGTACATTTCCTACCGTAAACTTAATTTTTGATTAGTAATATGCATTGCTAAGAACTTCATTTGGACAACTTTAAAGATGATTTTCTCAATATTTTGATTTTTTTGCAGCCTCAGATTCCAGATTTTCAGCCAAATATTGTCCTATCCTAACAAACCATACATCAATGGCAAGCTTATCTATTCAGCTTTCAGATGATGTATACATCTCAATCTCCAAAAATGGACCCTTATGGCAGGTTTTGTGCTCCAGAGTCGTGTTTACATCTGAACATGTGTGCGACGAACACTCGTGAACGCGCGTGACATCCAGCTGTCTGTCAGCGCTGCGCGCGCGCGCGGGGCCGGGAGCGAGCGTCACGGACGCGCACCAGTGGATCGCGCGCGGCTCCGAGCAGGAAGTTTTCTGGATGAATCCGGATCAGCTGCGAGCCAGACGCGCGTCTCACCTGCTTCCCGCGGTAGAAGAGCCTCTGCTGCTCCGGCTTCACCTGGAAGATGTCGCGGATCTTGACGCGCAGAGACTCGATCTTCGTGAGGCGCGACAGATCCTCCACCGTCCGCGTCTCTTTGCCGTCGATCGTGCGGATCTGGATCCACATCGTCGCTCCGCGCCAACCGACCGACGAGCGTCAAACACGAGCGAGCGAGCGACGCGCTCCTCTGCGGGGGAAACGCGCGTCTTGCAAACGGGGGGTCACGCCAAGTCTCGCGAGGAGTGGGGAAATCTCGCGAAATGTAAATACGCGGGGGAAAACAGTGCTTTTAAAGAGACAGAGACGCTTAAAAAGCATTCTAAAGCAAGTTTAGAGAAAGAAAAAAAAGTACAAATAAGATTAATATAAGTGAATAAGAAAATAAATTAGATCAAAATAAATAATTAGAAAAAAAACATTTAAATAAATACATACATCTGAATAATAAATAGCAATTGGATTAAAATAAATTAATTATAAAATGAATTAGAGAATGACTAAACTCAAATAAAAACGCGGGGGGGGGGTGCTTTTAAAGAGACGGAGACACTTTAAAAACATTCTAAAGAAGTTTATAGAAAATCTAAAAAATGTACAAATAAGATTAATTATAATGGAATAAGAAACTAAATGAGATAAAAATAAATACAATAAAAAAATAACAGATTTACATAATAGCAATTCGATTAAAATAAATTATATTATAAAATTATATGATCACATAGATTAAATTAAATACATAACTAGAATAAAAAAAATAAAAACATGGAAAATCTCGTGAAATATAAATACATGGTGAAAACGGTGCTTTTATAGACTGAACACTTGAAGCATGTTTTATTGTTATTTGCAATAAAAACGTAACAGCGTCTGTACTTGATGATCAACCTTTCCGAGTTGTCTATAAATGCTTAACTATTTTAAACAAACTATTTCAAACAGTTCTTCTCGATTTTATCATTATTTATAATTATTCTTTAATTATTAATTATATTAATCATTAAAATAATTATATAAATGTATTAAAATAATAGTATATTACTTAATAATTAAATATAAATTAATTATAAAACTTATAAGTTTATATGATTAATAATAATGAACAATTAACTATTATCTTATTAATTTATGACGACTTATTTTCCGTAATTATTGTTCATGTCGTTTTTTGAGCTCATATTAATAGAGAGTTTATTACATTTGTCCTTCAGTTTCTTCATTTATCACTGAATTGCTGAAAGGTGTTTAAAAAGATGCTAACCAGAATCAAACTAGAAAAACGTATTACATAAAACATATTAGCTTATATATCTGACTAAACTGAATGTTTGTGACCATAAATGCATTAACATTTTATGAATTTGCATAAAAAGTGTTATATAAGTTATAGTAAGTTTGGACTTATCTGAAGTTTTGTGAGTTTCCATAAAAGCAGATTCTTTATTATATTAATAAATATGACGAATAATATTTAATACTGAAATAAAATGTTAAAGGGGTCATGACATGGATTTTTTATTTTAATATGTTCCTTGAAATTTACTTGTAATGTTAAAGTTTTTTGCACAAAAACACAAATATGTGGAAAAAAATACGATGCCGGTGGGCGGGGCCTAAGCCGACGTCTTGCTCTGGAGGCGTGTTTATGCAAATGTTTGTGCTCGGGTGACGTCACCTTGCCCCTCGGATCCAAACGAGCCGTTTTTGGAGCTTGATTAAATAAACGCTTTGTTTATAACGAGGAGGACGTTTTAAGCTATGAAACTTGCAGGATGTTTTAATGGTACAAAGACCTCTTATATGCCAAAAGATCGAGGAAAATTTGATTTCTCATGTCATGACCCCTTTAATAATTAAAAATAAAAAAACTTGTGCAATTACTTGGCATCTGTAATAAACACATTAAGCAGCAAATAAATTAGATTACAATAAATACATAATTAGAACAACAATTAAATTCAATTTCGATTAAAATAATTAGAATAATAAATATCTTGCATTATTGACACACTATTTTCCTGTTTAACACTGTAAAGCTGCTTTGACACGATCTGTACTGTATAAAGTGCTATATAAATAAAGGTGGGGAAGACATTAAAGAGAATGAATAAACTCAATTGCTTACATGTGCAAATATATGTGACATGATAGAAAATGAAACATTTAAAAGTAAATCTCATGTGGATGATAAAAAGGACACAACCCATGTCTGTCTTTAAATAATGTTTTTATTATCACAGAAGCTGTATATGTACCACTACAGAGGAGAACGAGGCTCCAAACGATGGAGAGGAACGCGAGTAACAGCACAGCGACACGCAACGAAAGCCTAAACATGCTTCTGATATACAAAATCAAGACATGACAGCCGGAGGTAAAAGAGCTTTGGATGCGTCGATTCCGTTTCCCATCAAGGTTTGTACCAGTCGAGTCGCATTCAGAGACAAATCAATCAATCGAACACATGTTACCGATTCATCCCCATTCAAAACGTGTCTAAAAAACAACAACAAAGCACATTCCGAGGTAAAAACTGACCGTAAATGCTGAACAGAAGAGCAAAACCTGTGGCGAACACCTACAATCACACCCAGGTTAAAAAAATAATAAAATACACTTCCATAATGTACTATGGCACACTCATTTTGTACTTAGTATACTAAAAATGATTATTTATCACTGCTTAAAATCAACTAAGTGTACTCAACTGTGCTATTTTAGGACAAAAATGTGCTTTTAACATAGTAAAAAATGCATTTAGTCACTCATCTTTCATTCACTAGTGCACTCAAGTGTACTACATACAAGTGGTGACTAAATACAGTTTTAAATACAGGGATAGTATGTTAAAAGCACATTTTAGTTCAAAATAGTACACTAAATAAAGCAATAAGCCCCGAGAAGCCGTGGTTTACAGTGAATTTACAACAGCTAAGGGGCATTGTTGGGTACGACGTGAAGCAGAGTTTTTATAAAACGGTTATTCCATATACATAGTAAGGTTTCACAAAATAAAACAGAGCAAATAAAGTGTAATGATATTAATAAAAACAGTATTCTTCCACCAAACAATGTAGCGCCTCAGAAACAGTTGTGGTTGCCGAGCAACACACAAACGTAAACAAAGGTGTATGTTACTTTGTAGAGTAACAGCTTAGAACGTGGCTCAGCCAATCAGAATCAAGGACCGGAACTCTCCGTTTTATAAAATAATTTTTAGTATATTAAGTATAAAATTTGTGCGCCATAATAGAGTACAGAAGAAACGTCCAATCAAACGCAGAAATGACCTTTTGTACATTCCAGAAAATCGAACATCGTATAAACAAAAAACAAGGGCATTAAAAGCAAACCGATTCACTTGATGAACGAGTCAAACAGATTGCGCGGGTCCGCCTGAAGCCTGTAGACGGATCCAGATGAAGGAATGAGGAGACTAATCTTCGTCCGAGGAATCCCTGTCAAAGTTGTAGGCCATGAAGAGAACGTCAGGTCGAGCGGGGACCAGAGCGTGGCCCGGTTTCACCATCTCAAAGCCCAGAAAGCTGAATGTACGCACCAGTTTCACTAGAAGAGGAACACACACACACACACACACACACACACACACACACACACACACACGTCAGCGCAGAGAGCGTGGCCCGGTTTCACCATCTCAAAGCCCAGAAAGCTGAATGTACGCACCAGTTTCACTAGAAGAGGAACACACACACACACACACACACACACACACACACACACACGTCAGTGCAGCACACGCGTGAGAGACGGAGGTCTGAGCAGAGTCTGACGTACCACGATCGTCCCTGTTCTTATAGAAGCAGACGAACACACTGACGACTTTCAGATGTTCTTCAGCAAACTCCAGCAGAGAGACGAAGCTGCAACACAGTCAGACACAGACGCTTACAGATTAATACAGTAATCAAGAGCATTAAACTAGATCTGAGACCTTCTGAAAGTCTTTTAGACGCCATGGGAGGAACCCAACATTCATAAGGACTACATCACAGGATCAATGTAGAAAAACCCAATTTATACTGGGATTGTTTTTTTACAATTTTATTAAGGCACATTGCTAGATATTATTGTACTGTATATGTAATTGTGTATTTTAATCTAATTTGCATTATATATATACACACACACACACTTATTTATGTATTGCCAAAGTTTTTATTTATTAATTTCAATCCCATTTTGTAAATTAATTTTCATCTCATATTTTATTTATATCATATTTGTAATGTTTTAATCAATATTTTATTTCAGTATCTCATTTTTATTTTATTGCACTTTGTTTATTTAATCTATTTCTTAATTATTTGAAAGTCATTTGTATTAGATATCACTCTATTGTTATACATTTAAATTCTCATGTTTACCATTAAATATTTTACCTAACATTTTATTGATATTGTTTTTGTATTTAAATCTTATATTTAAATTTTAATAATCTTTTATTTTTATTATTAATTCAGTCTAATTTGTATTATTCTATTATCTAATTTTTATAATTTATTTATATCTCATTTTTTTACCATTTATATAATGTAAGTAATACTTTATTTTTATTATATGTATTATTTGACTATTTTTTGGAATATTTTTTATTATTTTTATCATTTATTTATTTTAATCTTATGTATTATCACTTTTCTTTTTTCCTCTAAACATTTCCACGGACCCCCAGCGCTCCCAGACTCCTGCTTCAGATGTTGTGGGTGGTTGTCAGGGTGTTGCTATGGTGTTGTGGGTGGTTGCTAGGCGCTCACCTCTCTTTGCTGCCCTCTGGAAACGATTCGCAGGGAATCTCCACGAACAGGCCGGGGCCCCGAAGCACCGCCTCCCATTTGATCGCCCGGGAAACGGTGGGCCGGCTCTGGAAGTGCAGTATCCGGGGGCGACCGGCCCCAGCGGGCTCTTCGGTCACAGTCAACTTCCTGTCCTGTGCAGCCAATCAGAAGACGAGCTGGTTAGGGAGTCTGTCCTGATCATCACTTCATATCGGTGTATGCTTGTGTTCTGTGATTCTAGAACTCCTGTTGTTTGTGTGTTTGCCTGAATGATGCGTTTCATTTCTGCCGTCCTCTGTTTAGAATAATCATTTACTTCTATTTATTAATGGCTTTTGTTTACATAATATATGTGCGTGTACTGTGTATATTTATTATGTATATATAAATAAACACACATACAGTATATATTTTGAAAATATTTACATGTATATAGATTTATATATTTATATTCTTATATTTTATATTCTAT